TTTTTTGTTTATCTATGTTAGGACTATCCACCTGAGAAAGATATCAACCAGGGTACTCTGGCAGTTTTTAACCTTGAACCTTCTGTGTCAAATGATGAAATTCGTCGTATCTTTTGCGTGTATGGGGAGATTAAAGAGGTGATATTTTATGCTGAATGTTTGCATTTTGTTGGTGTATTAAAAATTGCTAATTCATCTTCCTTTGGGCAATATAGATCCGTGAGACTCCGAATAAAAGCCTTCAAAAGTTGATAGAGTTCTATGATAGTAGGGCTGCAGAAGCTGCTCTTCATGCCTTGAACGGTAGCTATATTGCAGGGAAGCAGATTAAGCTTGAACCAAGTCATCCTGCTGGTTCTAGACAGTATGTTCTTTTAGCTTTCATAAATCCCTATTTCATTTGTCTTCTTTTAATCAATGTGGCTAGTTATTAAAGAAATGGAGATTAAATATGGTGTTAAAGGAGATAATATCCATACTTCTGTTCCTGGAATAGGCTTGCAAATTACTGAAACATAATATTTTTAATGTTTTATTTTATTTTCTTTTTAATTATTCGTCTTGTGTTTTAAAATTTGTACTTCTGTCATTCTTGTATTTGGAACTTCTGAGAGTGCAACCATGATATCTTTTTATTGTTATCTTGTGTTTGCAATCTTTGCAGGTTGCAACCATTTTCTCCAGAGATGGAATGTGATGAGTCTGGTCTTTATTTGCAACAGAATGGCTACCCTAGTGGCTTAACAACAGCATATCCTGGTATTATTTCTCAGAAGCATTTATTAATTTCATTTCTATTTGAAGAGAGCAGACATTCATGTAGAATCTTACCAGGCCCATGCACACTTGGTGGAATCCCTTCTAGCTTGGAGAATGGGACTATGTTTGGTGCAAACTCACCAAGTAGAGCTCCCCTTACTCAATATTTGGACAATTCCTTGAACCATGGGATGTCACTGAGTCCCAGCAGCAGCTTATCCTCACTCGTCAGGCTGGAATCCGTGGGTAAACAATCTAATCTCAGTGAGACCAGCCACTTACGGAGTCAAATGAACATTGAGTTTAGGGGCAAGTCAAATGGCCGCCCTTGTTCTCTTCCAGAATATCATGACGGATTAAGCAATGGAGTTCTCTCCAATTCTCCAGGTGCCATGGCGACAAATATAAATGCCTGGCCATCTGAAGTGATTGACAAGCAGCAGTTCTGTCGAGTTGGCTCAAATGGGCATTCAATGGGATTAAATGATGGTGGTAAGTGCAGAATTACATGGACCCATATTTTCTATTTTGGGTTCTCTCATAATTTCAGTTAAACAGTTTGTGGATTAATAAAACCAGTGACTCAAATTGCAACACTAGACAAAATAAATAATATTCATGATATAGACCGATAGAGTTTTGTAGCTACTTTACTCCTTGAGTCTTCTAATTTGAATATTAATCTTCTCCCTTAATTAGTTATTCACTTATTTGTGAGAGTACTAAAGAGTGAAACCATTTTTTATGTAAAGAAGATGCTACATTGTAGAATGTCTCCCAAAGAAAACCTCAATCCGATGTCTTCAGCATTTCCTGATTTTCTAATTATGCATACTCTGCTACCTTGCTCAGTTTTTGGTCCCACTGGAAATGGTAGCTGTACCCCATCTGGACGTTCATATGCATGGAGTACTTCTCCCCGTCATCAGCCTCAAGGCATGATGTGGCCAAACTCACCATCACTTGTCAGTGGAGTTTGCACTGCTCGCCCACAACAACTGCATGCTGTTTCTGATGCACCTAATCACATGCTGAATACACTTTTACCAATAAACAACCACCATGTGGGATCAGCTCCTTCTGTCAATTCTTCTATTTGGGATAGAAGACATGGGTATACTGGTGAATCTCCTGAAGTTTCTGTTTTCCACCCTGGTTCTCTTGGTAGCGTGCAGATTTCTGGTAATTCATCCCATCCCTTGGAGTTTCTTCCTCATAATATGTTTCCTCGGGCTGGTGGAAATGGTATGGATTCTCCAATCACTTCAAAGAGTGGTGGGTTACCCTCTCCTCATCAGAGGTGTTTGATGTTTCCTCCAAGGGGTCAAATGATTCCTATGATGACTTCAATTGATTCTCCAAATGAGAGGACAAGAAGCCGAAGAAATGAAGGCTCTTCAAATCAGACGGACAACAAGAAGCAGTTTGAGCTTGACATTGACCGAATTGTTCGAGGAGACGATAAGCGGACAACACTAATGATAAAGAACATTCCTAACAAGTATGCCACAATTACTTTATTTATAGATCTTTTGAATTTCTTTCTTTTCTTGATGCTGGTGTGACTAGTAATTCCATCAGACTGATATAATTGTTAGTTTAAGAGGAAAGGTGGTGTTAGATTCCTCTAGGCAAGTCCAGGTTAGACGCAACCATAACTTTTATACAAGTAGGATATTTGGTTAGTGCATCAGGTTTTCAGGTCAAATGACTCTTATGCTGGTTGCTTGCAATGTTTGTGTGCACAAGCATATAGAGATTCTGAAACACCTGACATGATTTTTGTCGAACTTGGTTTTGGATTTGTGGACATTGCAAATTGGTTTTGCTAATCAATATTGAGTACCTGGGTTCACTTTCTTTCTCATATCATTACTAGGTGGAAGTTAATAGTATATGATACATTTTTTGGGGGGGAATTGTCTTTGTATTGTTGTCAATGCTCAAGTTTAGTAAATAAATGGGGATGAGTTTCTTCCATACCATATTTGTTTCTTGTAACATGTCTATTTCTTCTCATGTTGGTGATACTAGGTACACATCAAAAATGCTTTTAGCTGCAATTGATGATCGCCATAAAGGAACTTATGATTTCATCTATTTGCCCATCGATTTTAAGGTATATTTATAATTCTATATTAATTTTGGAAGATGGTTGTTATACTATGGATATTGCATCTTTACTGTTGCTGCAGATTCATGACTTTATATTTGGGTTTTTATTTTAATTAATTAATTTTTTTCAGAACAAATGCAATGTCGGCTACGCATTTATCAATATGACTGATCCTTCATTCATTGTTCCATTTTATCATGTAAGCTTCCCTCTTGCCCTCAGTAAATAATTGATACTTTGTGTATCCTGTTGCTATGTGTGTGTTTAATACTTAATAGAGAGTTGATCTGACAGGCTTTTAATGGCAAGAAATGGGAAAAGTTCAACAGTGAAAAGGTGGCATCACTTGCATATGCTCGCATCCAGGGAAAAGCTGCCCTTATTGCTCACTTCCAGAATTCTAGCTTGATGAATGAAGATAAGCGATGCCGTCCTATTCTTTTCCATACTGATGGCCCCAATGCAGGCGATCAGGCATGATTATATATCCTTTACCTTAACTTGTTGGATTTGAACTTTTCATGGCCATTAAAGTGTTTAGTCTCTCCCCATTTTACAGCACTAGTTCCCTCTTCATCTATAGAGGTTCTTAGATCCTTGCATGGCAGGCGAGAAATGTCTGCACTGAAGATAACAGCTTAATATATGTATATATTCTGTTTCTGGGCAGGTGCCCTTCCCCATGGGTGTAAATGTGAGGTCAAGACCCAACAAGAGTCGAGGCAGCACAGGTGAAGAAAACAACCATGAAATCCATTTAAGTTCATCAAATGGGGAGTCATCTTGGCATGGAGAGGTCTTCAAGGATTCAAATTAAAAAAAAAAAATGACTGGACTGGACTGGACTGCTTCCTAGCTCATTATTGGCACTACTAACTAACCTTCTAGGGATGAGACTAATTTCACCCAAAAATTTTCTTTTATGTACATTAAGGGTGGTCACTGGAAAAAAAAAAAAAAAAAAAAAAAAAAAAAAACAGAAAACAAAGGAAGAGAAGGCTTCCTTCCTTGCTTTTCAGAATTTTGCTGAATTTTAATTGACAAGCAATGAGCATTGGCCCCCATATTCTGCGGGGCTGCCGTGTAACTGTAATACCTACCTACCTACCTCGGCAGGCGGCCAGATCCCTAGGTGGAGCGACTGCTGGAGCTTCAAATTTTGGAAATACTAATTGTTTGTAAAGAGAAAAGGATCGGAGAAGAAGAGTTTGGCGGATGGGTGAAGAAAGGAGTTGTCTCTACCAAATTTTCACTACTTCAGATGAGATGCTGCTGCCAAGGCAGAAAGAGAAAAATTTTGTTGTGAAAGTTTGATGTCGAACATTTTTTGAATGTTAAAACAAAAAAAAAAAAAAAAGCATAGCTATGCTAAGTCTTACTTAGATCTCGGCTGTAACCTTTTCTTTTCGTTTCTTTTTTGAGTGTTATATTAATATTAATTAATTAATTTGCATGTTAATCAGATGAGATGTTATTGACCTTGCTTAGATTATGCTGTCATGGACATGGACTTTGAAATCTCAAACCTCCTGCTAATCATTCTTTTCTTTACAAATGCTGCTACTCTTTTTTTGATAGACGCGATGCAGTCAAATTAGAGCAAACCAATTTTTTTAACTATCAAAATTTAATCACAACCAATGTGCGTGCCAATGCCCTAAACCAGGAATTTATGGGTAAAATTTTAACAGAGCAAACCAAATTTAAGTGCATGTCCCCAATCTTAACTCTATCATTTCTTTCACATCATTATTTTAACAAAAAATAAAATTACAGATTAGTCAGGAATATATTGATTAGCCAATTAGCATGTAATGTGATGGCATCTGACTTGTGCACATGCAGCAGTGATGGTAGCGGTGGCATCTGACTTGTGCACATGCAGCAGTGATGGTAGCGGTTGATTTTTTATATTTACCCATTTTGGTAATGCTTACTAAACTAGTGAATTAAGCCCGTGAATATTGTGAATACTTTTATTTTCAAGTGGAGTGGAGGATAGGGAGTGAAGTGTAAAGAAAATAAGGGGAGGGGTTAAGTGGCAATGTATATATTTTGATTTTATTCAAAATGTTACGCTAGAACCCTACTACTTTACTCTGCTAGTGGCAAGTGGCAAGTGCTACTGTTTTTTGATTTCGATTTTCGCATGCGTTATTCATTTCATGCTCTCATCAGCCGCTCCCAGTTTCTGCTCTGCCGTCCCTACTGCGCCATCTCCACTCGCCGCCTCCTCCATTCTCCTTCGATCACTATGCAACCCGCCGCCGCCGACGAAGACTCGCTTCGCAAAGCTCTCGCAGAAAAACACTCCAGTGTCGAACTCCAAGGAAAGGCAGTCCGTCAATTGAAGGCGTCAGGCGCTTCCAAGCCTGACATCGATGCCGCCGTTCAAGCCTTGAACGCATTGAAGCTCGAGAAGGCGTCGATCGAGAGCCAGCTCAAATCTTCCCTCGCAGGTGCTGCCGGCAGGGATGCATACCGTCAGGCCGTCGCCAACACTCTCGAGCGCCGCTTGTTCTACATCCCCTCTTTCAAGATATACGGCGGCGTGACCGGTCTTTATGACTACGGTCCACCTGGCTGTTCTATTAAGGCCAATGTCCTCGCTTTTTGGCGTCAGGTTTGTTTGCTTTTCAGTTTTAACTTGCCTAATAAATGTATAGAGCAACTTTGTAATCTACGGACTACAGTATTCGCAATCAGACTGCTGATGCTATTTCAAAAGTTTCAATTGGAATTTGCATGCATGTTCATCTGTTTTATATGCATAATAATAATAATATCCAGTATGTGATAGTATTTTGCTTTCCCTGTCCCATTTCAGCACTTTGTTTTGGAGGAGAACATGCTTGAAATTGACTGTCCATGTGTGACACCTGAGGCTGTCTTAAGGGCATCAGGTCATGTTGAGAAATTTACAGATCTTATGGTTAAGGATGTGAAGACTGGAACATGTTATCGAGCTGATCATTTGCTCAAGGATTATTGCAACGAGAAGATTGAGAAGGACTTGACTATATCTTCAGAAAAGGCTGCTGAATTGAAACATGTGCTTGCTGTCTTGGATAATCTATCTGCTGATCAACTTGGTGCAAAAATCAAGGAATATGGTATCACTGCACCCGATACCAAGAACCCTCTTTCTGATCCTTACCCATTCAATCTAATGTTTCAGACTTCAATTGGTCCTTCTGGCTTGAGCCCTGGGTCAGTATTAGTTGTCTTGCTTGGATATCTATGACTGTTATTGATGCTGATTGCGAGTGGCTTTTGTGATTTGTAACATTATGGTGATTTTTTTTTTTTTTTTTTAATTTTAAATTTTGATGTGATGCAGCTTTATGCGTCCTGAAACAGCACAAGGGATATTTGTGAATTTCAAAGATTTATATTATTACAATGGGAACAAGCTTCCTTTTGCAGCTGCTCAAATTGGTCAGGCTTTTAGAAATGAGGTATTAAATTTTTAAGCATCAAATTTAGGATTTTATAACATGCACCTTTGCGCTATATGTTTCTGATGTGGATGTAGTTTTATTATGAATTTTACTATCTAGTTCTAACCGGTGCTTGAGATGCTTAAATATGCACTGCATTTGTGAAAACTGTAAAAAGAAACAGAATTTGTAACTTATTAATCAACATTTCCAGATATCACCGCGCCAAGGTCTTCTCAGGGTCCGTGAGTTCACTCTAGCAGAAATTGAGCATTTTGTTGATCCTCAGAACAAATCCCACCCAAAGTTCTCTGAGGTTGCAAATTTAGAGTTTCTAATGCTTCCTAGAAAAGAACAAGTATCTGGGCAATCTGCAAAAAAATTTCGGCTGGGTGAAGCAGTTTCTAGAGTGAGTTTCTTTTATACTGCTTTACGAGTGATCTTCTTCCTATTTATATATTATGCTACATTGATTTCAACATTTTCTAGTACAACATTTTTGCCAGGGAACTGTCAATAATGAAACACTTGGATACTTTGTTGGGAGAGTCTTCCTTTTCTTAACACTACTTGGAATAGATAAAGATCGTTTGAGATTCAGGCAACACCTTGAAAATGAGATGGCCCACTATGCTGAAGATTGCTGGGATGCTGAAATTGAGTGTTCTTATGGTTGGATAGAGTGTGTTGGTATAGCTGATAGATCTGCATATGATTTGCGTGCTCATTCTGTAAGATTTTATCCCCATCACTTGGTGTGCTGTATCTTCAACAGCATCTTATTTTTATTGTAGTCCTTGTAATGCTTTTTAGATTCTTAAATCATTGTTTTCATTACTTCCAAGATATTCATGCATTCTAGAAGTTGAAATTTCTGTTTGCACTATTGACATGAACCTTAAAAATTTTATGATGCGTTTTAGGTCGTTGCCTAGTTTACTCTAGTACAGTTTACATTTTGGAAGAATGAGTTGCAATATCTTACACTTCAAAAACGATTACTCTTAGTCTGATATAGAAGGATTTGTGTATTCACACTATTATGCTCACTGTTGTCTATCAGGAAAAAAGCGGTGCACCTCTTGTAGCTCAGGAAAAATTTTCAGAGCCTAGAGAAGTGGAGGTAGCGAATGCTTCCATTTAATTAGTCATTTTTTCTTTGTAATTATGTTGCAGGGCTTCTAATCTCTTTGTAATGCTATGCAATGCTAGAAACTTGTTATAACTCCAGTAAAGAAGGAGCTTGGCTTAGCGTTCAAAGGGAACCAAAAGATGGTTGCTGAAGCTTTGGAGGTACTCATCAAAGTTCTTCCTCCTTTTTACAAGACATATATACATGTATAGATCTCATCTAAGTAGAGCAGCTTGACTTAGAACATTCAATTCTACTGGTCCATAGGTCCCCAAGTTCCATAGAAAGAGATTTCTTCAAATTTTGTGCTAAAAAAATCTGTCCTAAATGGATATGAACATCTTAACTTTTTCGACCACCTCCTAGGATGGTATTTAGGACATCATTGATATTTCAACCATGGTAGCCTAAATGGTATTGTTGGTGCTATTCACTATGTAAGTAGAACTGCCCTTTCTTAACCACGAGTCAATCCCTCAATCAAAAATCAGTAGAGAGGGTTAGATGCCCTTGTTAAGAAAAGTAGTCTGTATTTCTATTTGAATAAAAAAGGAAAATAGAAGATTGAAGCTGAATGGGTTTGCTTGCTGTATTTTTCTTTATAATAGGCTATGAATGAAGAGGTTGCTATGAAGATGAAGGCTGATTTGGAATCCAAAGGAGAGGTGGAGTTCCAGATATGCACTCTTGGGAGAAGTGTCACAATTAAGAGAAATATGGTGTCTATTTCAAAAGAAAAGAAGAAAGAACACCAGAGAGTGTTCACACCTTCTGTCATTGAACCCTCTTTTGGAATTGGGCGGATCATATATTGTCTTTATGAGCACTCATTCTATACAAGGCCTAGTAAAGCTGGAGATGAGCAGCTAAATGTATTCCGCTTCCCACCCCTTGTTGCACCCATCAAGTGTACTGTTTTCCCACTGGTTCAGAATGAACAGTATGAAGAAGTTGCCAAGTTTATCTCCAAATCCCTCACTGCTTCTGGAATCTCACATAAGATTGACATCACAGGTGTGCTTCAAGCCTTGAATGTGTTGCTGTTTTATAGAATTTATATATTGATGATAAAATAAACTATGTGCATGGGGCTGCTTCTACTACGTGTTTAGTAGCTTATGGAGTAAAATCCAAGTGGTGTGCTCCCTGGATTATATTGTGTTTCTATAGACAATTTTGAGCAGTTGCATATGTATCCAACCAGCATGCCAGGCTTAGTTGTAATTTAAGTTGATATTGTGTAGGTACTTCAATAGGGAAGAGGTATGCGAGAACAGATGAACTAGGTGTGCCATTTGCTATCACGGTTGATTCAACATCGTCAGTGACGGTGAGAGAGAGGGATAGCAAAGATCAGATTCGTGTTAGTGCAGAGAAGGTGGCATCAGTTGTGAAGGAGGTGAGCGATGGACAGAAAACGTGGGCAGATATTCTGCAAATTTATCCCATTCATTCTTCAGGGTCCGCAGAGTGAGCGAGTTCGTTATCTCACCAATTGCGCCTGCAGCCGCACTTTGGAGGATAACTGTTACAGGGGGGTATATGGTCTTTCATCTGGATTACTTTTTCCTCTTTTTAACGGATATTGTTGATTAAGAAATGTTTACACAAGTCTGGAATGTTACAACTTCATTATCAAACCATTTGATATAATTATCACAAAACATAAAGTTTTGGTATGAAATTATTTGTTCTTAAAGGTTTAGATATAATTGTTACTAGATGCAACTAACTTACACATATATATGCATGGTTCGGATCAAAATATGAATCTGTTAAGAATTAGGGAACTAGGAATGAATTACAATTTACAACCATCAAATAAATGAAAGAAAAAATGTGATGGTATTTTTTTAGAAATACGATTTAAATAGGCTATTGAATTATATACCAAATTGCAATTAGATCATTCAATTCAAAAGTGTCTTGTTGACCAAGTAATTGGATGATGTGGTGGTTATCAAATTATATTTTTTAAAAAATTATTGAATAATTTTTAAATAAAAAGAAGAAAAAACCTGTTGGCTATCCCTTCCCCCTCCTTCGTCCCTGGACAGGCTCTTCGTGGTGATGGCGTTTCAATTTGGGTAGCTTAAATTCCAGTTCCTCGTTGCTTGCTTTCTTAACCGTCGCGCTGGACTGTCGTGCTTCTTCTACGTTACTAGACTGGAATAGATAACCCAAACCTTAATTGGATCATAACATGAAATGTTGGGTTGGGATTAATACGTCTCTGTTATAAGGGAAAAATAGAATAGAGAGAAAAAGGGGAATCTCATATCCATTCATCTCTATGTGTTACATACAACCATAACACATCTATATATAATATACAAATATAACGGAAGACATAATGGAGACATAAATAAAAAATTGTTACAACTGTTATATAATCTATAATAATGTCCACATAATAATATATTTATAACACTTCCCCTTGGACATTATTTGTCCATGACCTTGCCTCGTTAAAGACTTGCTAGGAAAACCCTGTGGGAAAAACCTAGACAAGAAAAGAGTATAGTAGAAAATATATTCACGCCTCATTAAAAACTTCACTAGGAAAACCACGTGGGAAAAAACCTAGTTGAAGAAAAGAGTACATGATATATGTAGAAATCATATATTGTATTGGTTGCCTCATTAAAAACCTTAACTCAAGAAAACCCTGTGGGAAAAACTTAGTTAAGGGAAAAAGAGTACAACTATAAGCCTTCAAGGCATAATCTGCATAATCTTCAGGATTTTGAAGTTTGTTCATTTATTAACCAATTATTTTGCAACTTTTCCCCATTGTCATTACTATATCATACTCATGCCTCGTTAAAAACCACACTAGAAAACCCATTGGGAAAAACCTAGTGAGGAAAAGATTACATGATATGTATATGCTGCAAAAAAAAGTATAACTATTAGTCCTTTTAAGACCCAATCTTACATGATTGACCAATCTACAGGATTGACTCGAGTGAATGTACTTCCTGTCTCCCCCTGAAGATAACAATCTTCAAATTCTATATTGCCTGTAAAATCATTGTTTCTAAATGGTGCAGAGAAGGGATATGGTACAATCTTCAGGATTGTCATCATATTTTCTTATGATCATCTGGACTAATAAAATTATTTAATTTATAGTTTATATTTTGTTGCTCCCCTAAATATAATAATTTTTCTTTACTTACACATATCAATCTTATGAATATTTGTAGGTATACATTTGCTAACTTGTCACTAGAGCAAACCTTCTGAACAAATATTTTATCACTCTTCTGGAGTTCATGTGGATCAAGGTATTTTATATCATGAAAAACTATATACGTTTTTATCTGTAACAAGTATGATGACTTCATGCCAAAAAGCATCAATACGAGTATTTGTACCTTGATTTGCTATTCGTTATCTCATCTCATAACTTAACATCATTAAACTTTTTATATATTTCATTGATGTTTACACCACAAATATTGACTGAGATAATAAATAAGTCCATTATCAACTCTTTATTGAGCACATAATGGTACATATTATTCCTTCTATATGAGGATAATAACCCCATTCGCAACTCTCTAAAAAGTAAATAATGACACTTAAATAAATCCTCATTTCGGGAATTATAAATCCATTAGGGATTTTTCAAGATAAACTAGAGTATATATTTAGGATATTTTCAAGAGGAAACTATATTTGAGTTTCCCAATCACATATAACATTACTAGGCATGTTTATGATAATATATTTTCATACTTTGTTCTGGGGGAAATGCCTTTAGTCAATTTATTGACTATAAGAAAGATCATAGTTAGTAACTTACTAACTTTTATACTTCTTATTTTGTGATTTTCATTCATCACATTTTGAGAAAATCCATCAAAGATTTTAAATATAAGTAACAAGTTACCCATATAAATATGTGATAACTATAACTGTTAGCTACATATCTAATTTATTTACTGCTAGTTTTATTGAATAGCGGAATATAAAGCCATGATTATAATTGGGTCTCTGCGAAAACCCTCCACTCGCTCTTTATTAGCGAATTCTGATTTGTATGCCTTAATTGCTATTTTCTATGAAAACAGTTAGCACGCTGCAGGCGTTATACTACTATTTTCATTTCTGGATCCAGATTTTATGAGCAATAGAGGCAAAATATGTTGTCGACAACTGTAACAGCTTTGTAAATATTTTTTATACACATGGCAATTTTGTAACCAAATATATGGCATTTCCCAAGAGTATTTGGATTTGGTTGTTCCGCTTCCCCAGTATTTTAGTTATTTGGTGCACCTACAATTTTACTGGGGGTTTTCGCCTTCTAGACGAATATCTTCAGGATAAAATTTCTATATTTCTGGAGTGACGAAATTTCTATACTAGATCTAGTTTTGTAAATTCTTAAATCAATATATGCTTCTGGCATAATGGTAGAGATTTTTAGTCCTAGTTGGGGATTTCAACTCTTAAAATATTTTCTATGGACTTAATCACTCATTGAGATTTCTAGCAGATAATTTGTTCCATGACTGAACTTCTGGTTCTATAAGGCTAGTATATGGGTTTGAAGATTTTTATCAATTTCTCGGCATTTAATTAATTATAAATTTCAAATCTCCCCCTAATGCCGAGAAAATATCTTATAATGCAATCAATATCACTGTTGATTTCACATGATGAGATATAGCTAGAAGGGTTGCATATTAAAAAAAATTGAACGCAGATAAGGAAATGCATCATGTACTAGCGTATGTGATATGTAGTGGATCAACATATTGATTTTTCAATTTTGAAGGTCCCCAAAAAAAATATTTCCTCCAAAATGCTTAATTTGCTTTCCGAAAAAAATGTCATAAATAATATGAGCAAAAATATGACCTGCATGCATGGAGCTAACATCTCGTAGTATGTTGATGAAATTAGACACCAAACATTCAAAAAAAATCTTGTCGAATTTTCACTTCTGGTGAAAGAGTAGCCACAACTCTCATAATATAATCCCGCTCCATATCATTGTTAAAATTTTTGCTTGAGCAAAGCCAAGAGCATTGTACAATGCCCGAGCAACAGTAAGCCTAACAAATTTTATGCAAATAAATTTAACAGGTCATAGTAGCATTTAATCACATGCAAGCTTAAGGTTTAGCAACGGCAGGTGCACCTTAACAGAACTATCTCACTGATTTATGGTTTAAAGCTCAAATAATACTATGCCTTTAAAAATATTTGTCTTAAAAGTTTGCTTCACGTTGTAGCATTCATGGCCTATAGCAAATATTTGTTATCATCAAGAGAAAACAACAAATCCTCTTTGTTTTATGGTTCACATAGCTACAAAGCAAATTTGAACAAATAGAAGTTCTCAAATTCTGAGCACATTATGAACAAATGAAACTGTGTTGCCAACATCATAATTTGCTATCCCAAAAACCAATTAGGCATTCAAATACCAAGTCTGATGCAATGTGAGTATTTCTATCAGCATGCAAATATATGTGTATATTCTCAAATAATCAACTTCTCAAGATGCTCAAATAATTCAAGATACTAAAATTGATAGCAAATTTCAGGAACTTTGACCCAGATTGCAGAATTTTCTGGGGAAAAGCGGTAACACGTTTTTGCAAAAAAATAAAATAAAATTGCAGATATGTAATTCAACAAGTCTAGAATGTTCATAAAAAATTTCATGTAAATCAAAGGTCTGGAAATATTTTTTCCAAAAAATTTCCCAACATTGCGCCAGGCAGAAAATTAATTGGCAGCACACTGCCAAAACATTACAATTTTTCTGGAAAAATCAAAGCATATTTTTAACGAAATATTTTTACAGACATCAAATATCACAAGTCTAGGTTCTCCAGAAAAAAACTCAGGCCAAAAGGAGTTCAACAAGTATTTTTCACGAATTTAATTTTCAAGCTGTGTCAATCAGATTTTCAGGAAAACATAACAAATAGCTTAAATGTTGATTGAGTTAGAACCAACTGAACCAACAACTTATGTTATGCTCTCTAACATTTACGCAGCAGCCTTAGAGTGGAATCACAAACTAGTGTAAAAATCATAATCTTAGAGAGATAATAGAAGAGACTTGAACCATCTGTGTCTATTATGTGGAACATAAACCAAAACCATACTCTCCCTGTGGTGATGATGCTTGATCAATTTATATTTGTTTAAAGCTTTGTTTCGTGATATCCATATAAGCAACCACAACAAGATGCACACTGATATATTGTCAATATGATGAAAGGAAGCCACTGTGAGATTCTTTCAACCATTTCATCAAAATGCCAAATTGATCACAATTCATGATCAAAACCTCAGTGTTTGACTATCAATGAAAGTGGGAAAACCCTCACAAATTTTGAATGGATAATAAAGACATATTTCAATGTCGTAGGTCATAATGCAAAAGATGTGAAATCAAGTAGGGCAGTACTCAAAATTAGAATCACTACCAGATAACTTTTCAGAATTTATATCCATAACTTGAGAATTTTCAGTGGGTTAAGAGAAGAGTCACAAACCTCACAACTTTTGACTTTCAGAACTCATCTCTTGGACTAATCAACCTTCCACTGCCACAGAGCAGTCCTAGTACGTCCACCAGCTTCGACCGCGGACAGGCTCCGCCGGCCACCACGTCTCGCTAATGGAAGCGACACTTCATTCCTGGCCACCCAAAAACCGAGTCCCCATGATTAAGCCACCGGCAGATCGCGACTCTGGTGCATCGCCGTCAAACCGCTTCCAACGGATGCAGGTTGCCAGCCGCCACGAATCTCCAGCCTACGTCGATTGTAGATCGCCGGTCGCCACCTGGTGCGTGATCGATCCGAAGCACTTGGCCTGCAAAACCAGCCACCCTCGATCTTCGTCCGCGAAAACCAACCTGCCCTCGTCTTGATCGCTGGCCGGTTCTAGAGTGGAAAGAACGAGGATCACGCGGGGGAATCGATCGCTCCGATTGCCATCTGCCGCCTCTCGCCGCAGCCGTTGCGGGAAGGAAACCGAAGATGCAGTATACAGAGGATAGATTTTCCAATACAGTATGCTAGATTGGCGTCGCACATCCATAGACACGAACCTACCATTCCGACCACCGGATTTTGGTCATCCGACCATCTTGGGAGTTTTCGCGGAGATCGCCGGATTGTGGCCTAACGTTTAGGATGTAGAGCAAAGGCTGATAACGTGTTATAAGGGAAAAATAGAATAGAGAGAAAAAGGGGAATCTCATATCTATTCATCTCTATGTGTTACATACAACCATAACACATCTATATATAATATACGAAGACATAATGGAGACATAAATAAAAAATTGTTACAACTGTTATATAATCTATAATAATGTCCACATAATAATATATTTATAACAGTCTCAACAATATATATTAATAACATAGAAAATAAGAAAAGGAGAAAAAAAATATGTTTATCAAATATAATATTAAATTTGTCAGAGATCGAGTTTAGAAATGAGGTTGAAATGAAATTGTACTACTGTTATATATTAAAATGAATTTGAAAATAATAAAATATTTAAAATCAAAGTTATTAAAAACTAAAGTTCTTTAAAAAGAAATTATTATATGATGCAGGCAATCAATTAAAGCCCGCCTCAGCACGAACTGCAACCAGCTTCAGCTGGTTGTATTTCTACTGCCCCGATCCCATCTATACTGCACTCCAATCAACGTAACTCATTAAAGAAGTACAATTATAGTGCATAATATACTAGTTCTTCTCCCTAGGTTGCCCAGGCCTGACAGAGCATATAGGAGGAGATAAATTATGATAATTCGATTTAGCAAACAAGGCCAAATACTGGTGCATACAAGAGACCTGTCTATTTTGAATATAATTCAATTCCCATACTATTATTGTCGAGTTTTGAATCTTGATCTCCTCTCTGAAATATTGTTTACTGTCTAAGTGGACATATAATATACTAGTTGAGCATATGCATGCATGCAAGCTTATTAATTTATTACTCCCAAGAACCAAGCTAGCTGATGATTACTGCTGGCAAATCATTATCACCTTTAATGTTTCTTAGTTGGCTCTTTGTATTACTTAATAAATGAGTGCGTAGTAGCTAATGTTATACATGCATGGCTGGAGACAACAATACAATACAAATTATGGTGGATCAATTAAGTTTTACTCATGTGAGGTTTAAAGTATACGAGATGGGACAATTTCAGTCAAGTTAATTAGACAATTGATTTTGTAATCACTAATCTGCATGAACACTACTAGAAATTATGGAATTTCCGACCACCTGAAAGTGATCTTAAATCAAGTCGAAAGCCTTGTTCCGATCACTTTTGGTATCCGGAAAAACCTTTGTTGCTATTTCCGACCACTTTTTGGTATCAATTTGATTTAAGATCACTTTCAGGTGGTCGGAAATTTCATAATTTCCAGTAGTGGAAGCATATATGAGAGTTATTCATTGATTTTCTTAGGTTAAGCCTATCAACTATTTTCAATATTGGCTTACATGGTCCTTTACCCATTTTATCTAGAGTATACTTTTGAGTAGTAGTTACGGGATTTCTTGTAAATCAAAATTAAAAATAGAGTAAATACCCAAATGGTCCCTCGACTATAGCTAAATTCACAAATTGGTCCTCGACTTTCAATTTTAACCAATTAAGTCCTTAACTTTGTAATTTTAACACAATTTGGTCCTCTGTCTATTTGACCGTTTGTTGACTGTGATTTTTGAGGATGTATATGTAATTTCATGGTCCATCATCAGTTTTTTAAGGTTTCGGTTGAATTTCCAGACCGCACTGTTACATTCGAATCCACTGCCGAAAGTAATCTACCAAATCCGATCGCCTTTCTTCATCCCCCTTTGGATTCAACGTAGTTGAGTTCGTACTAGAGCAAAGAAGATGACGTGTTTCCGAACCGGTGCAACGTTATCCTGGAGGCCTCTATGTGCTCCGACGAGAGCTGAAGGTTCTTTTGGAGATTGTTGATCACGGTCAACAAACGGTCAAATAGATGGAGGACCAAATTGTGTCAAAATTGCAAAGTTAAGGACTTAATTGGTTGAAATTAAAAGTTGAGGACCAATTTGTGAATTTAGTTATAGTCGAGGGACATTTTGGATATTTACTCTTAAAAATATAGTAGTTATTTGCTACTGCCGCTAGCTAGCTGTGGAATTAAATCCTAGCTTAATTAGCAACATTAATTGTAATTCAACTCATGACTTTAGCATTAATTTCGCTGCATATATGTATCCGATTTCAATTCCTTTGTGCACGTGCGGCACAGCTGGTTCCCCATTTAGGAAAATGCGGAGAGATGGGATTTAGGAAAGTGTGCTACCTTAATTAATTAGGCCTTAATTAAAATTAAAGTAGTACTTTTAATATGGTTTCTGTTGTCTGCCAGGCCGGCCAGCTTAATTGGCGATATAATACTATACGATTAATAGCTAGCTAGGATAGGATATTATATATGATATGATCCTTCCAAATCCTATGTATATAAAGCTAATTAAGGGAGTGCCAGTAATTATTGCATATATGCAGGTTTAAGCTAAGCTAGCTAGCTCCGCCCACATCTCACCTTCAATTCGATCTTGCGGCAAATATTTGCATATATATTAGCTTTATATTAATTAGTATCTCAAATTAGCTAATTAGTAAGACGACAATTCAATTAAAGATGGCATCCGCTTCTTCTTGTTTTCTTCATTACATAATGATGATGATGATGATGATGATGAGCGCAGGCATGGGGATGGGGGCACCCCCAAGGAAGGCAATGAATGAGCCATTCGCCAGAAACTATGTGCCTACCTGGGCCTTGGATCATATCAAGTACTTCAACTCTGATTCTGAAATCCACCTCTACCTTGACAACCGTACTGGTATGTGTGTGTATGTAAATATAGCTATAAGCTAGCTTAGCTAATTGCATTACATTACTTTGCTCCTAGCTAGCTAAGCTTGTACTACTAATTCATTTTTATTTTTATTTTTATTTTTTTTGTTTTAAAAAATTAAATGATTTGATCGTTGCATACATATGTGTGTGTAGGCACTGGGTTTGAGTCCAAGGGGTCCTACTTATTTGGTCACTTTGCTATGCAAATAAAGATGGTTCCCGGTGATTCTGCCGGCACTGTCACGGCATTCTATGTAAGTTCCGTTATTTGGTGTACATACGTGTATGTGTATATATATATATATAGTAAGTAGTACGCAAATTAAAAAGTATAGTTCACTACTAGATGTTGAATTTGACCTTTACCAACTATCATTAATTGTTGACTCAAGCTTTGATACCACTCATTAGAATAATGTCAAAAGTTATATATAGCTCATCCTAATAGATCTGATCTAGGCTGGCTAGCTAGTACGGCGTAGATGGAGCACAATTAATATAATTAAGTAGCTCTGCTAATTAACGTGTATATTTATATATATATATATGGGTGCGTGCATGGTGCATGGCGCATGGCAGCTGTCTTCTCAGAGCAATGAGCACGACGAAATAGATTTTGAGTTCCTGGGGAACAGAACTGGGAAGCCCTACATATTACAAACTAATGTATACACGGGCGGGCAGGGTGACAAAGAGCAGAGGATTTATCTGTGGTTTGACCCCACCCAGGACTTTCACACCTACTCCGTCTTGTGGAATATGCATCAGATTGTGTAAGTTAATAGCTAGCTAGATAGCTACTTAAATTACCTTAATTAATATAATAATAGATTACTGATAACTGATGGATGGATGGGATATGATATATATAGATTTTATGTGGACAACATACCAATCAGGGTGTTCAAGAACAACAAACAACGTTTGGGAGTGAAATTCCCTTTCAATCAACCTATGAAGATATACTCGAGCCTGTGGAATGCGGATGATTGGGCCACCAGGGGCGGGTTAGAGAAGACGGACTGGTCCAAAGCACCCTTCGTAGCTGCCTACAAGGGCTTCAATATCGACGGCTGCCAGCTTACTGACCACAAATTGTGTGGCCAACAACACTACTGGTGGAACCAAAAGGATTTCCAAGACCTTACTCGCTTCGAGTGGCGGCGTGTGCGCTGGGTTCGTAACCGATACACAGTCTACAATTACTGCACCGATCGACTCCGCTATCCCACCGTGCCACCAGAGTGCAGGAGGAACCGAGACATATAATAATAATAATAAAATCATATGCATGAATACAATATATTATACTACACATACCTCAGCTAGCTCCTACCTACTACTGTTGCCTGTTACGTTGTTGATCACTATTATTTTTTAGTGTTAATTAATGTGCTATGCTACTAGGACATACATATATACATACAGATCACTGTTGTATGTGAAGATATCATCATGTAATAATACTGTAATTGTGTTCATATTGCACTAACATCGTTTTTTTTTTCTTCACTTGGAAGGGGGACACCCCAAAAAATATTAGAATGTGTTACAAGAATAACGCCAAGTAGGCAGCCCAGCATTATCATCCTCTAAAATACCCAGAAGCAACTCAGGGGGCTCAACTAAAATATGCATGCCTTTTGGAAAATTCCTTGCAAAAACTAGACAATCTGCAGCTTTATTTTGTTCACGGGCGATTGGAGAAAGTTCCCATACTTTCAATCTACGCAGCTCTTTATTAAGGGCATCCTCAATAGTTGGAGATTTTACCCCTATTTTTTGTGGGCCCCAACATTCACCTCATCATCCACTATCTCACTCAATCACAAAATCTCTTCTTCCCATTAGTTTTCAGTTTTTTAACAACTTTTTGTGGACCCACCATTTTATCTCCATATTTTAATTATTTCTTTATTTATTTCATTTATAAATTTATAATTTTAGAGATAAACATAAATGATACGTAAAAATAATATGTAAATTAGCATACGTAAAAATTGCAAATAAATTTTTTTTTTTTTTGAAAGGGTAAATAAAAAGTGTTAAAAATTGTGAAAGATGTGTTATTTATAGCAAATAAAATCATAATTATTAATTGAAAAAATTATATGTAAAAATCATAATTATAGCAAAAATCATATTATTAATAATAAAAATTATAACCAAAAAAAAAATAAAAATAAATTAATTGGCAACGGCCAGAAGGCCGTTGCCAATCCAAAATCATTAATTTCAGAGTGGCCGCCAGTTGGCGGCCACTCTGAAACACCTTGGGAACACACGCGCCCGCCAGGCTGAAGGGTGAGACACACCTGCGCGTCTCACCCTTCTTTTCTTCTTCTTTTTTTTTTTTTTAAAAAAATTTTGACAATTTTTTTATTTTTTTTTTTTTGCAGGAGAAAAATGTGGTGTGTTTTTTTTGCTTCCCATTAGTTAAAAAATTAAACGTGGAGATTTTATTGTTCCAAAATTAGGGAAAGAATCCCTATTGGGGATCCCCTTACATACATTACATACGTTTCTCTTTATAGATATCTTCAATTCAATTCCATTTCTTAGGTATTCCTTCTATGTATAATATAATATTATAAATTGAGCAATGCTATAAATCCCTCTTTTGTTTCTCTTAATAACTTTCCTCTCGATGTGAAATTATCTTTTAAATTTATTTTTTAATTGGTAATAGAATCAGTTAATTCATTGACATCCAATAAATAAAGTCACATAAGGAGTAAATGTTTGGAGAGAAAATACAGATGGGAAAATAACATTTTTCTTGTAAATTATTCATCACAAATTTTACCCATATAACCAGTTGAGCTGCCCATACGGACTTCCTTGTAATTTATGGCTGTTTAGCTTGCTGTGACACTCAACTTAGATCCGCAAATTATGCCATGGAATCGTGTTCACCGAGAATGGTGAACACAAGGCAAAACGACGTCGTTTTAGGCAAAAAAAAAAAAAAAATCGCGGATGTGGAGTTAACAGCGCCGTTTGATCAAATTATGAATTTTCTGTTATGAGATTATGAATTTTATGAAAATTCATAATCTAATAACAGAAAATTCATAATCGCATAACAGAAAATTCATAATCTCACAACTGAAAATTCATAATCTCATAACAGAAAATTCATAATCTTATAACAGAAAATTCATAATCTCATGGTTCCAAAGTGAATGTGTAGGCATGGTTCCAAAGTGAATGTGCAGGCATGGATTCATAATTTATGAATGTCCGTGATTTCGGACGGGAATATGTAGGCATGGTTCCAAAGTGAATGTGCAGGCATGAATTCATAATTTATGAATGTCCGAAATTATGAATGTAATGAAAATTCATAATCTCATAACAGAAAATTCATAATCGCATAACAGAAAATTCATAATCTCATAACTGAAAATTCATAATCTCATAACAGAAAATTCATAATCTTATAACAGAAAATTCATAATCTCATGGTTCCAAAGTGAATGTGTAGGCATGGCTCCAAAGTGAATGTGTAGGCATGGTTCCAAAGTGAATGTGCAGGCATGGATTCATAATTTATGAATGTCCGTGATTTCGAACGGAAATGTGTAGGCATGGTTCCAAAGTGAATGTGCAGGCATGAATTCATAATTTATGAATGTCCGAAATCTTTGTTCACCTCAAATTAAAGTGAAACCGCAAAATGTGAAAATAAAGAAGAAAAGTCACGCAATTAATTAAAGAAAAAAAAAAAAAAGATAACGGTGTACTAACACCGTTGGAACCGTGTTCACCATCACGGTTCCATGGCATAACGTCTGACTTAGATCCTGCCCGGCCAATGGATTGGACTCATGCATATATGCTCCTTCTTACTAAGCCCTCCAAAGTTTACTCCTTTTAATGCCTAAACTAACTTTGGATTCACATTTATTTTCTCTGCATTTATAAAATTTCAACCCACTTTCAAAAATAACTTGGTCTTTTTTTCTCACCACTTAAAAGAATTTTTTCTATTCCATAATTACTCTCTTTCTTGCTCCTTCTTACACTACCCATATTGTATCAAGAGATATATAAATTATTATTTTAAATATTAATAAAAATTCAAATTACTTATAATAATTAATTTTAAAAAAATTGTAATAAAATAAGTTAATGGTTTTCGGGACCCGAGTCCATCATAAACCAGGTACGGATATATAAAATTGGAAGTAGAAAAATAGTAATATTATTGTTCGGTGTGCTAAACCCAAAAGAGTAAGTATATACAATAGCCAGAGATATTGATCCAAAAAGGTGGCTCGAGAAATTAAATAAATAAATAAATAATAATATAAATCTATTAATAAGCTACAAATAATATCATATGGGTTGGAGGTGTGGACAAGAGACCACTAGCTACTATAGCTAGACTAGGTGAGTGAACAAGGATTCAATTTATGATCTTAAAGGGGTAAGGACATACCGTTTTGCAATTCCTCCCTTTTTGCTCCAAGCTATTTACACAAAGGGTTAAGGTAGCTTGTTGGATGTAGTTATTTGTGTAGTTATGCTACAAGTCTTGTGTTTGACTTCTCATACCTTTTTGCAACTCCTCCCTTTTTGCTCCACCTTCATACCCCATCTTTTTGGGCTTCCTTACATTCAAGTTCACAAACACTCCCCTCCTTCATTCTTCTTGGGCAATACCTTGCTAATCTAATGTGCCATTGGGCCTATCACGAGTCCCTCACTTTCTTTGGTTGTTTTTGACAAACAAAGAAAATATAGACATCCCCAAACTTCTACATACACACCTTGACCTCTTTTGGGCTAAGAGGTTCTCATTTCTTTTGAATAGCTTGGTCCTTGTTGCATTCCCTTCATCGGTTTGTTAGGACGATTTAGTTCTTGCACGTTCCCCACAAGAAAACTAAAGAGATTTTTTTATCGCCCTCCATTTGTGCGAGCTTATTGAGTTGTCTTCTCTACTTGCAAACTCCTTGGGCGGCCTTCTTAGCATGCAAGTTTGTACAACTTTTATTTTTTAATTGAGGCTCTGTGCCTCTTTGGGTCATCATCTTCCTTGCTTGCGGGCTCACAAAAGATTATTTCTGGCCACCTTCACTACATGCAGGTCGATGAGCTGCCTTCCATGCTTGTAGGCTCCTTGGGGAAGCCTTCCTTTGAGCCGCCTCCCCCTGCTTGCAAACTCCTTGGTCCACTTTCCCTACATGTGGATATGTATGACTTTATTTTTTCATCTCTATTTTTTTTTTACTTGAGGTCTGATGCCTCCCTCGACCGCCTTCCTTGTTGTGGGCCCAGGAGCCACATTCCCTACATGCAGGTTCCTAGGGCAGCTTTCCTTACTTATGGACCACTTTCAAAAGTAACATTGTCCATTTTTCCTATGACCTAGAAGATTTTTTTTTTTTTGGTTCCATAATTACTCTCTTCAAGAGATATATAAATTATTATTTTTAAATATTAATACAAATTCAAAGTTTTTAAAATTATTAATTTTCAAAAAAAAAAATTGTAATAAAATAAGTCGTATTATGTACTATAGTAATGCAATGCATGCAAGAAAGGAATATATAATTTAATTTTATTTTAAAATAAAATAGTAAAGCATGCTCGCAGAAGGATATAGAATGAAGTAACAAATTAAAAGTAAACTAGCGTCCTGTTGCATTGCAAGAAAGGAATATAAGTGCACGTACTTTAATTTCTACATTTTTAATTTGTTTATAAACTTTAAATTACTCCTTAAGAAAAATGAAATAAATTAAATGCAGTAATGATCACAAAAGGGCTGGCCGGCATTAATAACATATTTTACAATCAACTAATTAATTAAGCTAGTAAATATAATACATGCTCGCACAGACTTAACTTACTGATTTAGTAGATAATATTTGATAGAAGAGATCAAGATTAGTTTATCTTTTTTTTTTTTAAATGTTTTTTCATACTTATCGACTAATTCAATAATTAATTTTATCAAAATATTTTAATTTCAATTAGATAATATATTAGTTAATAGCTTTTCAACTAGCGGTTGTCAAACAAATGAAGTTTTATTAGTTATTGAGAAGGTGGATATATAGAAGAAAAAATTAAGAGTTAATTTCACGTCCCTTATTTTTGGTGACAATTTTAAATTTAGTCCTAGATTATTTTTTTGTCATTTTATATCCGACTATTGTTTTTTGGACACTTTTAGTCCTTCTCATGACTTTCTCTATTTTTAGTAAGATCATTTTTGTCTCTTCATATTTTTCTTTTATTATTTTTTCGGTTTCAACTGGTTTAATTGGTTTAGAACTTTAGGTAGGTAACCTCTGATTTTTAGTAACCATATTCTTCAACCGATTTTTAGTAAACTTTTAAACCAATTAAACCGGTTGCAATTGAAAAATAACAAAAGAAAAATATGAAGAGATAAAAATGTCATTATTAAAAATAAAAAAAAAAATCATAAGAAAGACTAAAAGTGTCCAAAAAATGATATTCTGGGATGTAAGATGACAAAAACAATAATCTGTGACTAAATACCAAAGACAAGGAACCTTTGGTGGATTTATAAAAGTAGGCAGGAGCTAACGTGTTCCTTTAATTCGTGTGTACCTTAGCTTTAATTTGATGAGATGAGAACCCCACTCCCAGCCAATATAATAGTGCGTGGATAGATCAGATCGGGATTAGGCAATATGGTTACGTTAGGAATAACTTGGGTGCTACTGATCTCATCTCGTGGCTAGCTACGTACTATACAATACATGCGCGCGGTTCAATTCCCAGCTGCCTTTATATAACTATATATATATAGAGAGAGAGAGCTAATTGCATCAGTAATGAGTTGAAGGAAGTAGCTAGGTACGTAACTAGCTTATCGAGCTAAGAAATTAATTAATTAAAGCGAGCGAGCGAGCATATATATATATATATATATATGTCGTCATCTGCAGAAGATGTATATCAAAATTGGGTGATAAAGATAAACGATGAATTGGAAGCGGCAAGACGCAGAGATTCAGATGTTAATGCGGAAAAGGAGCAGTGGGGGAAGCGCTCCATCTACCGAATCCCTGCGTCATTCACCGACGTAAACCAGAAAGCATACAAGCCACAGGCGGTCTCTTTTGGGCCTTATCATCACGGCGAGGAACATTTAAAGCCTATGGAGGTGCACAAGCACAGGGCATTGGTTCGGTTCCTGAGAAGGTCAGGAAAACCACTGCAGCATTATCTTCATTCCCTGGAGCCCCTGCTGCAAGATCTAAAAGACGCCTACGATACAACAACAACGCACCAAGTAGAAGAAGATGAGAGGATTAATTCTGTAGGCGGCCAATTCCTGCAACTCATGATTCTGGATGGGTGTTTCATGCTGGAAATATTGCGAACTGGAGCGGGTTCACCTAAGTATTGTCTAGGAAAAGATGACTACGCCCCAAATGATCCTGTTTTCAGTGATCATGGAAAGCTGTACGTGATTCCACACCTTAGGCGCGACATGCTGGTGCTTCAGAATCAGTTGCCAATGCTTCTTCTTTACACTCTGCATGCCGTCGCTAACAACGTACGTACTATACCTATACGTCACTACCTATCCATCTACTGCTCAATCAATTCATCAATACCTAGCTACTCTGAGTATGTACTCTCATTCATGAATTATATATATATATATATATATATATATATATATATATATATATATATATATATATTATATGCATGCATCTCTAGACTCTAGCTACCTAGCTAGCTTATACCTAACTACCTAGCCAGTCTGTAGGAGGCGATAAAAGGCCAAGTTTAGCACCCGGTGGTTAAGCTCCCAAGCCAGCATCTCATAAATGTTGGGACTATCCTAGCTATATATAGCGGCTTTAATTTTGGAGTAAGTAGTAAACGCTTGATCCTAAGGGCATCTCCAATAGGAGAATCTTTGGGGATTTTGGAACAATAAAATCTAACCCAACTAACTTTTATCAAATGGGGGTGTTGCAACACCCCACATTTTGTCAGCAACTTGTCAGTATTTTATTTAAAAAAAAAAAGAAAAAAAAGGGGTTAGACAGTGGCCCGCATGGGCCAAGATTTGAGAGTGGGGGACGTTATGCCATGGAACCGTGTTCACCATTCATGGTGAACACGGTTCCAACGGTGTTAGTATACCGTTATCTTTTTTTTTTTTCCTTAATTAATTGCGTGACTTTTCTTCTTTATTTTAACATTTTGCGGTTTCACTTTAATTGAGGTGAACAAAGATTTCGGACATTCATAAATTATGAATTCATGCCTGCACATTCACTTTGGAACCATGCCTACACATTCCCGTCCGAAATCACGGACATTCATAAATTATGAATCCATGCCTGCACATTCACTTTTGAACCATGCCTATACATTCACTTTGGAACCATGAGATTATGAATTTTCTGTTATGAGATTATGAATTTTCAGTTATGAGATTATGAATTTTCTGTTATGCGATTATGAATTTTCTGTTATGCGATTATGAATTTTCTGTTATGAGATTATGAATTTTCATTACATTCATAATTTCGGACATTCATAAATTATGAATTCATGCCTGCACATTCACTTTGGAACCATGCCTACATATTCCCGTCCGAAATCAGGGACATTCATAAATTATGAATCCATGCCTGCACATTCACTTTGGAACCATGCCTACATATTCACTTTGGAACCATGAGACTATGAATTTTCTGTTATAAGATTATGAATTTTCTGTTATGAGATTATGAATTTTCAGTTGTGAGATTATGAATTTTCTGTTATGCGATTATGAATTTTCTGTTATGAGATTATGAATTTTCATAAAATTCATAATCTCATAACAGAAAATTCATAATTTGATCAAACGCGCGCCGTTAATTCCACATCCGCGATTTATTTTTTATTTTTTGCCTAAAAACGACGTCGTTTTGCTTTGTGTTCACCATTCTCGGTGAACACGATTCCATGGCATAATTTGCGTGCGAGCGGCCGCCAGCCGGCGGGCACTCCCAATTGAAGATCTTCTTTTTTATATTTTTTTTTTGTTTTATTTTGCTGGCCGCTGCAAATGCAACGGCCAGCATTTTTTTTTTTTAAATTTTAAATTTATTTGGTTAACATTTTTGTTTTTTTTATTATTATTTTAATTTTTAAATTGTTATTAAATTTATATTTATTAATTAAATTAAAATTCGTAATTATCAATAATAATATTATCAAATTTATAATTATAGTTTTTAGAATGATAATAAATAAAAAAATAATTAAAATATAGAGATAAAATGGTGGGTCCACAAAAAGTTGTGAAAAACTTAAAATTAATGGGAAGAAGAGATTTTGTGATTGAGTGAGATAGTGGATGATGAGGTGGATGTTGGGACCCACAAAAATTTGGGGTAAAATCTTCAAGGATTGAGGATGCCCTAAGTGTATATAGGCTTGTTTGGTAAAAAAATTGACCTATAGACCAATTTTGACTTATTTGACCACTATTAATTGTTTGATTTAGTTAAAATATCAATATAAGTGTTTGGTTAATTAGCTTTTTACAACTCCAAAATGTTAAAATTCAAAAAATTACTCCAATCAACTTTTTCAATTAGTTTTTTCAGAAAAAAATTATACCAAACAGCTATTAGGTAATAGCTAATTTACTAAACACTTTTCTACAACAGCTAATGTTATCAACTAGTTATACCATCTAATTAACACAATCAGCTAACGGCTAACATCTATTTTTACCAAACAGGGCCATAATATGCATGTTGATGTTGAAGGAAGCGTGGAATTTATGAATGACCTGATCATCAAAATATGGAATCCCAATAATTTTGATCCTAAGAAAAAATTGGGCAAATGTCTGCACGTGCTGGATTTGTATCGGAAGAACTTGCTTTGGGAGCAGGACAAGTACTACCGTAAGCGGCAGAAGAATGTGAATAAAATGAGAGGAGCTCGAGAAGCTGCCCGTCGTCGTCATGGCCACAAAGCTAGAGGCGGCGATGACCAGATTATCCGATCCGCGACCGAACTTTACGAAGCGGGCATTCGATTCAAGAAGAGCAAAACGCAAAGCCTTGCGGACATCTCATTCCGGTCTGGAGTACTGAGGCTTCCTCCCATTACGGTGGACGATACCAGCGAATCCATGTTCCTAAACCTAATAGCTTTCGAGAGATCCCACTTTGGGGCGGGAAACGAGGTCACCTCATACATCTCTTTCATGGATAACATCATTGACAGCAGCAAGGATGTTAGCCTCCTCCACTCTTCGGGAATAATCCAAAACGCGATTGGAAGTGACAAAGCGGTAGCCAAATTGTTCAACTCCCTGTCCAAAGATACAACCATGGATCCAGAGAGCAGCCTGGATTTAGTCCAGAATAAGGTGAGTGAGTACTGCCAGAAACCATGGAACGAGTGGCGAGCAAATCTCATCCATACATACTTCAGGAGTCCATGGGCTATACTCTCCGTCATTGCTGCCATTTTCCTCTTCGCCCTCACCATTGTTCAGACCGTCTACACTGTTTTACCCTACTACAACCACTCCAATTCTTAAACGTACTGCAACCAACAAACGCTAGCATAGCTGGAACGTACCACCTGAACTGAGCTGATGACTGATGAGTGTGTTTTTTTTTCTTTGAGTGTGTGCGTGTTTTTTTCTTTGAGTGTGTGGTTAAGTTCATGTTATTCTCTTCAATCCTTATCCATACCACATATCCAACAAACTCTACATTTCATGAAAATTAGAACAGAGAAAGCCAAACCCAATCTCCAATATAATTGGTATGTTTTTCAAGAAAAGCACATGCTTCAATCTCCTTCAGTGTACTGTTTGCGTATAATATCCAGTCCATGCCAGTATTTTACCACTACACCAATCTGGATCTCTTTCATGAGAAATGTATTTGAAATTTTATTAAATCCGATTGGTAGCTCAACAAATCTCCTTCACTGTATATACTAGACTAGACTAGAGGCATTAAATTAAAGAAATATAATACTCTGCTAGCTAGGGTTGTAATCCTAATCTTACAAGATGACGACACAGATCTACCGTGTCTATATCCAAAATGAGAGTAGTTCCAAGGGAATCCACTACTTATGCCCACTACCGATCATCGAAACCTGCCAAACACACATTGACATGGATGGCGTGATCAACTTGAATTCCAAAGCAATCTATCTACTACTTCTACATACTTGTATGTATGTAAATGTATTACTTACAATGTTATTTTCTGGAAGCCTCCAATACAATCCCTGCACAATAATCGGTATTATGTTGCAGGACACCAGAACATAAATCAGTAATGCATTCATTCCCATCCACTCCAGCAAACTTGTTAAGTGTCTACATCCATACACATCAACCTGTGAATTAAGGAAAGGAAACTGCTTAGCGGATTGGATGAATAAATTTCAATTAACTTCAACCCTGGCCTGCCTCTCCAAACTTTCTCACAATATTATGTCTACAGATTATGATATCTAACCATTATATATGCTCCAGCGAAGACAACTCCAGCAGTACCAGCAATGACACATGTGTAACTGAAGCAGTATAATACCTTGTTTATATGCATCCCTATAAGGAGACAGGTAGAGTAAATACTGCTCTTTTAACTATAAATAAACTGTTGACTCATTCTATTTCTCACTAGTACATAAATTCAAAAGACAAAGCCTTACCAAAGAGGTTGCATGTTACCCCTAACAGCAGGAGACAACTTGATGGTATTATCCATTGCAATATTCTAGTTTTATGATCCTGTTCCAATTGATTTACGTCAGGCAAATCAGAAAGGCAGTATCCCAAAAGACTAAATTCAACATTGAAAACTGTTTTTTTTTTTTTTTTTTTTTTTTTTTTTTTACCTTGAAATGGATTATAACATGTCCAAAATGCACACCAACAAAGCAAGTTACAATCGCCATCAAATTAGGGATGACAATGTGCCCCGTCCCCGTTGGGAATCCCCGTCCCCGTAGAGGACGGGGACGGGAATGCGCACTTTTTTAAAATCCCCGTCGGGGACGGGGGCGGGGACGGGGATACCCCTCCCCACCCCGCCTCGTCCCCGACAATTAATATATATATATATATATATATATATATATATATATATATATATATTTTATATTAGGAATTAAGACTTATATTACCGTAGTAGTTATTTAGGAATTAGGAAGTATATTAGGAATTAGTAATATATAATACGTTAATACTTAATACACTAATACGGTAAGCAAAATTAGCAAAAGCAAGTCTACTTCGACTCATCTTTGTCGGCCACGGGCCACATACGCACAGTAGGCAGCAGGCACTCCAGGTAGCCAGGTTTCGTCGTCCGTACATCGTCGTCAGTCAAAATATGATGAAGCGTCCCAGTGGCAATAACCTTCGTCCATCACAGCCTTCACAGCCACAGGTAAGTGTTTAACAGTTGAAGAATGACTAAATGAAGAGTATATATTGAATGATCATTCTGACAACCATTAATTAAATTGAATGATCAGTATGCATGAATATTGAATTAATTAGATTATTAGATTATAATCCTTATATTGAATGTTGATTACAGTAACTAGTCATGTTATAATTAGATTATTATAAGAAATTTGCCTACTCCATGTTATAAAGTGAATGTATTTATAATTTGCCTACTACTAGATTATTAAAGTGAATGTATTTGTAATTTGCCTAGTGCATTAGCTCTTATGCCACTGTTATTCATTGAATCATTCACGTAACTCTCTCAAGTAACTACACATGAGAAAATATATGAGTTTTAATGTGTAAAAATAATGAGTATTTCTTAAATTTAATCATATAATTCATAACGTACACTAATATAGTAATATCTTTGTATTGTAATTGTTTAAAGGAGTGTGATGTATATGTTGAGATGGGAGGGGAGGATGCACCGAGTTTAACTCAATCAGCACTACCTAATGATTCGTCAATACCGGATGAGACACTTGTGGACTCTCGCATCGATTTAACTACTAACAACAATGAGATTGAGGGAGAACCGAATGGTCCGAGTGAACCAAGTTTTGGTTCAAAAAGATTAAAATCTGTGGTATGGGAGCTAGGGGTGTTCAATCGGTTAACCGTTCGGTTAACCGAACCGAATTAACCGAAGTTTTTTTTCCTTTAACCGTTAACCGAACCGAAGTTTGCTCTACCGAATTCACCGATCCAAAATTTTTTTCTGTTAATCGGTCGGTTAACCGATTAACCGAACTTTTTAAAGCTAAAATTTAAAATTCTAAAAATAACACCTAAAATAATAAATACAATTAAAATAAAATACATATCATAATAAATTCATAACAAAATATACAAAAACATTAATTATAAACTCCAAACATACATAACCTCAAATTAATATTTATATTTATATTATATATATATATATATATATATATATATATATATATATATATATATATATATATATATATATATATATATATATATATATATATATATATTAAAAACTTCGGTTAAACTTTCGGTTAATTCGGTTAACCGACCTTTCGAACCGAATTAACCGTTAACCGAAGTTTTAAAATTCCTTTAACCATTAACCGAACCGAAAAAGTTCGGTTCAAAAACGGTTAACCGAACTTTGTCGGTTCGGTCGGTTAACCGAAAATTATCCGAAGTTTGCACACCCCTAATCGGAGCATTTTACCAAAAAGGTAGTTAATGGTGTGGATAAAGCAGAGTGCAATTATTGCAAAAAATTACTTGGGGGGCAAAGTAAAAATGGAGCTGATAGTGTAAATACCACGGGTGCAGTAATTAACAATAAATACGAGATCAATTAAAGCAAGTAAAAGAACTTTATTAATCATGCAAAGGCCCTAAGTACAATCTACTTGGTTGCACCGAGTACCGACTGACTGCGGTCGGGAGTCTCTGATTACAACCTATCGATCGTCCCAAAGTCCTTAATCTGTTGCATCGGCGGGTATTTATAGCCGCGGAGCTGGAGACACAAGTCCGGCCGTCCGGCATACTTCCCACGTAGCAACCACCTGTCATCCTCCGAAGTGCCCTATCTGTCAGCGTCTGGTGCCGCCACGTGTCTTTACTCGGCACTCTCGCCTAAGGGCTACCGCTCGGAGGTTGACCATGCCGGTCGGGCAATGACCGGTCGGGTACCGACCGGGTCCTTCTGAAGAAATCCGACCTGTTACCTGTAAAACAACTAAGAAAGAGAGCGAAGGTATGTCGGTCGGGGTATTCCCTACCAAGAGCCCCCAGCCCGTGCCTTTTTGACCGTTCGAGAAAAATGGGGCGGGATGGAGAAGCCCAAACGTCCGCCGCCAAACCGATCGGCCAGCTGTCATTCCCTCTCGCCACGTGTCGACGACTGCCAGCATCTGCGACCGTAACGGTCGCCTCGAAGTCAGGAACGGTCGTGTCACGCGAGCTGATTGGTTTCCCGCCCAAATGCTCTCCTATAAATAGGCTTTTGAGGATTTCACTTGAACTTACTCCATCCTACTGAAGCGATCGGTATCCTCAGAGAGTCCCGAGCAACAGTTCAGTAGACCAATCGAGCAAACCAAATTTCACGTTTTCTCCCCAAGTGTCTTCAATCGGTAAGTCTTCTAGTCTTTTGCTTTGATACAATGCTTTTATACTTAGCGTGTTGTAACATAGGGCCTAGATAACCTCGACCTAACTCCCCGAGCCCCTTGTAATCCCGACCGACCTCTAGGTTGCCGGAATGTCAGATTCGGACAGCCAAAACGTATCAGTTGCGGATTACGACGATGAAATTGAGCAGATCAGCGAGGAGGAGATAGACATTATGTCTTATTCTCCTGAGGTTGTTCAACGACCAGGGAAAGCTCCCGAGCGAATCCCCGTGCAGCGAGACTCATCGAGCTCACGCGACTCATCAGGCTCGGGCTCGGGTAGTGGTAGAGAGGAGACCTCCACGAGTGGACGAGGTCTCCGGGCTGAGGGCGTTAGGGAAACGCCAACCCGAGTGATAGGGGATTACTTGGAGATTGTCTTTCAAGAGGAGTGTCAGCCCAGTGGAAACGAGCCGGTCGAGGAAGAAGCGACCGAACCGGCGACTAAAGCGGATGACGGGTTCGAGTACTTAAACAGCGAAAGCGTCGCTCAGCAAATGAGCGAGCTGACCCACGGGGAAGCAGCGCGGATTGCGGAAAAGCTAAGTGGTCGGGTAAAGTTTGACACGAGCCAGCAACTCGGGAACGTTATCGACCGTCACCAGCGCAAGTGGATTGGGATGCACTACGACTCCCTAATGGCCCCAATTTTTTTCCCGTTCCCCGCCATCTTGACCGCCTTTCTGGGCTATTATCAGGTCATGCCGGCCCAAATATGCCCGAACTCGCATCGCATAATAGCATGTTTTCCCCAAATTTGCGCTCGGCACCAGGTGACCTGCACGATGGAGCTTTTCAACTACATCTATCAAGTGAAAACCCTCTCGAGCAACTATGGAGGGGGATTCCTAATGGTGCAATCCCGAGAAGGAAGGTGCTCGATCGCAGGCCTGCCCGGGAATAACAAGGGGCGGAAGAGGAGGATCTTCTCGGTCGAGTATGACCCATGGATCCTCCCAGTTGAGAGGGTTTGGAGCACACGCTTCAGGAAGCAAGTTACGCCGGTCGAGACCCCGGCGCTTCGGGAGGCTGTTATCCGGATCTCGAGTGAGATCCACGAATACAAGATCTTCCGGTCGGCGGAGAGCGTCGAGGCTGCCTAGTTACCGCCTCCAGTGTACGACCTGACGGAAAAATACAAGCCCATACCGATGGGCGTGGTGGAGGCGGGGGCTCCTGCTCGGGGTAAACGGAAGAAGAAAGGTCTAACCCTTAACTGACTAATTCTCCCGATCCTAACTCCCCGAACGACGAGCTTACTCCCGAGCTAATGAACTTTCTCTTTTGCAGATATGGCGCCCAAACGTTTCAGCAGCGCCGCCCCAAAATCCCCTCCCCGAACGAAGATCACTCTGGGGAAAAAGAAGCCGACGACCGCTGGGTCGTCCGGAGGGGATTCCATCCCGACTGCCCGACCCCTGGACTCCACTACGATGGTCACCACGGCCGAAGGAGGCATCTTGGATACCTCCGACACGCTGATTACCCGAGTAACCAGCCAAAAGGCCAGGGGCAAGGCGATGGAGAAAGCGGCCGAGGAGACGGCCCCGAGCAAGAGGCAAAGGACGGAGGATAGCCCGGCCCCGGCGGTCGGGTCGATCATGGCCGATGCTTCTATTCTGTCTCGAATCGGCAATCTGACGCCGGTCGAGATAGACTTGACCAAGCTGAGCACGACCCAGCTGGCCGAACGGCTCGGTCGCGAACTGGCCGAGGTAAAAACTCATTCTTCTTTTCGTCTTTTAACGGCCAAGTGCCCTCAGTCGAGCTAACGTGTTGATTTTGCAGGCATCGCGGATCGGGTTGGCCCTTCATGGCCAGGCGCTGTTGGTCACCGAGGCTGCGAGGCTAAAAAAGGTAGCGGATCGGCGGTTCAAAGAACTGGAGGACATGTCCACCGACCTAAAG